ATTGTGGCGGATTGCTACGAGTTCTTCAAATACCGATAGAAATGATGGGTTTCTTTGTAGTGAGTGTAAAACACGTAAATATACCATTTTGATACTCTGTCGTAATTAAAAGTAAACTCGATAAATCGGATAAACAGAGTGAAATTTAATGAAAGTACAACGTTTCATCAGGTTAACCTGTCATCATCAGGTACGTCAACTATAATGAATGAATTGAAATTACAAATATCTATAATAATACAGTGCAAGGGTCCATTGAACTTTCATTGGGTAAATTTAACAGTAAGGTATGATATTTCGGGAGAGTGTGCCTACAGTATCTGTGTTCCTAACTTGGACAAAGAAACTTGGAGAGACTCGTCTTAAATGGACTGCTTCTGGCTGTTTGTAGAATGGGACGACGTTTTGACTTTTACAGTGAGACCATTTTTAGGTTGAATTTACTATGCTTACACTGCATTATACATTCTTGAAACATAGATAAATATTTCTAGAATAACGAGTTCTTTCAGAGATCAGCAAAAAATGTAAAACTATGGCTATTTGCCTTATATTTGCAAAACTTAACATGTCCAAACATTTTCATATTTACGGTGTGTGACTGTGTGCGGGTTTTGACGTGGGTTAGAGAGAAGGAGGGGTGGCCTGGGAGGCTCATTATACGATTACGCTATACGTTATAATGTGACCACCAATCCCACTATTCGTTGGTAAAAGAGTAGCCCAAGAGTTGGCGGTGGGGGGCGATGACTAGCTGCCTACCCTTTAGTCTTTCATTGCTAAATTAGGGACGGCTAGCGCAGATAGCCCTCGTGTAGCTTTGCGCGAAATTCAAAACCAAACCATTTAGCCTAACTTAACAAACCCTCCAGCAGTTAATAAATGATTCCTGTGTAATATTTAGGGTCAGAGCTTAGTTAGCTCACGCTTTCACCCTGGTCCCTTTCAGGGCCATTTCCATGTAGGCAATTATATTAAAATGTAAAATACACGTTTGCTTTATCCGTTTCTACACTTCACGAACAGTTCGAGAAAATTTTTCACATGTTTTCATTGATTGTAAATTCACATATAAAAATACTTTTTAATGCTTTCACAGTAACCTAAGATTAATGATGATTAAGATGTTTAGCATTAGGTGGCCTTAATTTATTTCTATTTCTCATATAGATATATATATGGAGGATTAGGTGGCCTTAATTTATTTCTATTTCGTATATAGATATCTATGGGGGATTAGGTGGCCTAAATTTATTTCTATTTCGTATATACGTATCTATGGGGGTTAGTTGTCCTCAATTTATTTATAATTCGTATATACATATATATGGGAATTAGTTGGCCTCAATTTATTTATAATTCGTATATACATATCTATGGGGATTAGTTGGCCCCAATTTATTTATATTTCTTGTATACATATATATGGGGATTAGTTGGCCTCAATTTATTTATATTTCTTGTATACATATCTATGGGGATTAATTGGCCTTAATTTATTTCTATTTCGTTTATTGATGTCTATTGGGGATTAGGTGGCCTTAATTTATTTCTATTTCTCATATAGATATCTATGGGGGATTAAGAGGCCTTAATTTATTTCTATTTTGTATATAGATATCTATGGAGGATTAGGTGGCCTTAATTTATTTATATTTCTTGTATACATATATATGGGAATTAGTTGGCCTCAATTTATTTATAATTCGTATATACATATCTATGGGGATTAGTTGGCCTCAATTTATTTATATTTTTTGTATACATATATATGGGGATTAGTTGGCCTCAATTTATTTATATTTCTTGTATGTTTCTCCATGTAGGAGTCTGTCGGTTAAAGTTTCTATATTTGTGCATAAATGTGGTGGAAGTTGATCTAGGTACTCTGTATGCTGTTCTAAGTAATGTGTTCTGTAATGTTTGTAATTTAGTTTGTTTGTTTGTTTGTTTTTGAATTTCGCGCAAAGCTACACGAGGGCTAGCCGTCCCTAATTTAGCAATGTAAGACTAGAGGGAAGGCAGCTAGTCATCACCACCCACCGCCAACTCTTTTACAAACGAATAGTGGGATTGACCGTCATATAGAAATGAGGAAAAAAACATGAGTAAAGATATATTCGTGTTCTAGATTATAAAAGTTACACCCGTAATTTTATATTACATTATTTTATGCGTGATTTTAAAAACAAAACACAGAGCCATCGGGGAACAACTGTATACTCAAAACACTTCATTAATCAGTTTCTCCATCTCTGTTTCACATGTTAATTTCCGATTCCGAGGAGTTGGATAGAAATCGATTTTTTGCCAGTATTCCTTGGCAAGTGTAAGAGCTTTTTCAGCATGTGGTGTTGTAATTGTTACTGCTATTATAATGAGGACAGCTCCTGTAATAATCAAAAAACTTGGTGCTTCACGTTGTGCAAATTTTTGTAAGAGTATAGAAAAAATAATTTCCGTTGTAAATACTATGGATACATTTCCAGAGTCGATGCATTTCAACGCCAGAACTGTTGTAATCACTGCAATTAAGTCTAGAATAGATAAACTTAAGAGTAAAACACCATCCCATCCGCACCGCCATGTAAGTGGCGAGTCTGTTGCTATGGTGATGACCAAACACAAAAGAGCACCGATGATGGCCCACCAAAAGTTAACGGATAAGTAAGGCAGGTTTGAGAGCCGACGAGTCCACACAAGTAAAATAGCATCGCCCATAGCTCCCACAATTGTCATAACTACACCTAGTGTCAGTTGAGAGTGAGAAAAATGTTTCCATTCTTTCACACCCATAACCTCTGGAAGAAGAACTAAAAGTACTCCTCCCAGTGTAAGTATAAGACTGAGGATTTTCAACACACTGCACCTTTCCCTCAATACAAGACAGCCAATTATAGTTGTGTAGAGTGGCATACTATAATAGATGACAGCCGCCTCTGCTATCGGTAGGTAATAATAGCCGTAGTAAAATCCCAAGGTACCAATCCCTCCAACCAAAGATGATGCAAAAAGTTCCATGTTTGTCAGACGATCAAACCATATTGGATTTTCCTTCATTGTCAGTAAAGGGAGGAGAAAAACCATTTGTCCTATGCTGCGTAATGCGGCAATTCCCGTTGGTGTCAACGAGTCTATTAAGCTTGTAATATATCCCTTTATGGAACTTGCTAGAGCGGCAACAACAGCCAACACCACGCCTTCAGATTCTCTATTCATGAATACCTTGTATAACGCCATCTACAAAACAAAAAGTAAAATAAGCTTTGGTGAGAGACTTTGCAAAATTATTTCTCGTAAAAACTAATTCTACCACATAATTTGAACTACTGCTCAGTCATTAAATTAGAATTTAGCATTACAGAGTTTCGTGTCACTTAATGGTTACCTTGTTGACGATTTTTCGCAGAATTATTGCTTCAAAAAAATTACTTTTACGTAGCTATTTTGTTGTGCCCCTAGTGGTCATTTTATAACAAAAAATAAGCATGTCAGTAGTGAATTGTAATACATTAAATATATTTCTATTCAGTTAAATGCATTACAGATAAACAAATCTTCGCTTTTAAATGATCTAAAAAATGTCTCATTATAAACTCACTCTTTATCACAAGTCTCGACACAATAATTACTTTGGGTGAAAGCAACAGCCGACCGATGCCGTGGGGTAACAAAAGTCACAAGGTAACGATTTCGACTGGACAAAAACAAAACGAGTTTACCTGTTTAGACTTACTTTTATTGTGACAGTGAATATCGAATCCCAATTTTTAGTGTTACAAACCCTTGGCCTTCCGCCCTGCAGAATAAATACATCCACAAGAAGTTTCAAATTTATAGAGTTTTTTGTGATATCTTTAACCCAAGACGCCAAAGAAGAGATTGGGGACATACCAGAGCTGATAGAATTCAAGCATTTTTGTTTTAAACATTTTCCTACAAAAAATACGAAATACTAGACTTTACATATAATAACGAGGAATTGTCTGTTTACGGAGATTAATGTAGTTTTTTAAAGCTAGACTAACAGTTAAGATACTGTTACGACAGGGGAAGTCACGTGACGCTGGTAATCGGAAATCGAAGTTTAATCATGAAATAAAAGGACGACGGCAAAAAGAACAAACATCTGACACACGTGAGACGACAACAGATTTGTGGTATTTTCAATAAAAAACCATTTTCCAACAAGTATCGGACAGGTAATCCGCAATAACAGTATATTCTATCAGAATATAACGGGAGTATTTTGTAGTAAATAACTGAGTCATCTTAGTGTGTGAAATAATTAGACTGAACGAAGCTGGTAAAGATATAAACAATCTATTATCTGACATACATAACAAGAACAAGGTATATGTAAAACAAAAGCCCCCCAGTGGCACAGCGGTAAGTCTGTGGACTAACAACACTAGAAACCGGGTTTCGATACCCGTGGTGAGCAGAGCGCAGATAGCCCATAGGTGTGGAGGAGATCACAGAAATAATGAGTGCCCACGAAAAAAAAAAAACACAACTATACTGCTGTAACTGCCAACAGCAACACACGGCAAACTATAAAGGATGCCTAAAATACAAAAACATAATTTTCATATTTACGGTGTGAAACTGGATTTGTCCCCCAGTGGCACAGCGGTATGTCTGCGGACTTATACTGCTAGAAACTGGGTTTCGATACTCGTGGTGGGCAGAGCACAGATAGGCCTTTGTGTAGCTTTGTGCTTAATAGTAAAACAACAACAACAATAAGAGGATTTTTCTAAAATAATTTACTGAACATTGAAGAAGTCTGTTTGGCAACATAGGGTAATTATGTAGAACCTGTGTGAATGTCACTCTGGGCATTCTATAGGCTGGACATATGTAGGGCGATATTTTGACCGTCACCTCGATATCAGTAGTAAAAGGAAAAGGGACAGGAAGTCAAGGCTTTCATAGGAAACTGCGGGAGTGGAACCTCCCACAATATTTGTTAGGCTGCAGGAAACTTCTTCCGGAAAATATAACAAATATTTTGTGGCCCCATATTATGTATAAGCTAGAGAGGGGGTGGGTGTCATAGGAAATTTTGATTGAAAATTCTAAGGTGGTAGGAAGTTTCGGAAAAAAAATATCGTCCTGATCATATATTTTGAGAGTTTGGAGATTAGCAGCTTAAAAGTCTTTCATCGAGGTCTCAAAGTGTACGGGACAAATACAGTAATTTAGAATAATTTTAGGGCAAAATCAAAGACTATTATAACGAAAATGCTACTCATTTGAGAAAGGTAAATTATAACTTTGTTAATACGTTCCAGATATTTTTCCATATTCCTCCACGTCTAGATCTGAATAAACTGCAAAAAAAGAAAGACCTGGTGATTAAAACATCTGACTCGCAATTTTTGGGTCGCGAGTTTGAACCCCCATCACCGAACATGCTCTCGTCCTTTTAACCGTGTGGGTATTATCATGTTCCGATCAATCCCACTATTCCTTTTTAAAGAGTAGCCTTGTGGGTGATGTTGACTAACTTCCTTCCCTCTAGTTCATCATTTCTCAGTTAGGGATGGCTAGCATAGATAGCTCTCAACAATCAAACAAACCAGTCAAAAAACAAAACAAAAAAAACGTTAACCCTTGCAGAATGAAAATTATGTAGTAACCATAAGCTGACACACACACACACGTGCATGTTATTCCAAGCTGTTTGAAATTCTGAACATAAAGCGTAGTTTCGTAGATACACATATATACTTTGCTGCCTACAATCTAGTGTCTAACAAATACATAGCACTGGTATGTGAATATTAATGTCAGTAATTCATCTTTATTTTGAGCCTGTATTTAAATGGGCCTGACAACGGATATATAATAACTACGAAAACAATACAGAAATACAGGTTCAATCACCACTACATGACACTGGCAAGATTAGGCCTACGGCTCCCCACGCATTACATGCAGTTTATGTAACAACTGTTCAAACTTGAGTTATTCATAACTCCACAAAAGAATGGAAATGTGAACTGCTGGTGTTGGCAAGTAGGAGGAATACGTTAACAAATTATATATTATATGTTATAAATTTTCAAAACTTTGAAGAGCAACACAGGGGTAGATTGTTAGCCCACTGAATCTCAAGTACCTTGCATCACTCAATTACTTTTTATCTTCAATGAAATGAAATTATAATATCGGAGGAACGTACAACTGAACCAGAACGATTTCTTGAAGTTAACTTTGTCACAACAGTGAAATTTGAATGTTTTAAAAAAGAGAAGCATTTATTTTTTATACTTCGTTGGCTGCTGTTCCTGTTAGATTCAAAACAGGAATACAGGATATGAAAAACACAGGACACGTGTGAGGCCTACAAATAGGATCTGACTACATTAATCCAAGTTGAACAGGGATGTTAAATTACTGACCTGATGTACGTTTTGTAGATTTTAGGAATGTTTTCTGGACAGGTACCTCTTCTGTTACCAGCCAGATTTCATACATAATTTAATATTTTCCAGATTCTGATTTTGTTGTTATTTATTTGAAACGCAATAAACCAAAGACGCTGGAATTTCCCTCGAAAAGACACCCACTTTAAGCTTCAAAGTCACAAATGCATAAACGCCTAGTTAGCGGGAGCATTTGACTCGGGTATAATTATTTTTGAGGAGGCTATGCTCCTCATCCACAAAAAAATAATCCTACAATATATGCATGAAATATGCAACTGTACTGTAATTGTGATTTAGGTTTGGTTTAATTTAACATTTATTGTAGCTATATATAGTTTGTTTTATAATCACTGTAAATACTGACGAATGTACAATATTTAAATGGCACTGTTGACTTGTTGGAACGTATGTGGTATACGTATGAAATTTTGTAAATTAGATTGATTTGTAAACATACCCTAGCCCCAAAACTCAGCAACTTCGTCTTTTTTTCTTCAGCTCGTATTCCTTCAACTTTTTTGTGCCCGGCATGGCCAGGTGGATAAGGC